TTTCCATATTTTGTTAGTTTTTTATTCTTTTCCATGTTTTGGAGATTATAATCGACTTTTGCACGATTTTTACCTAGTTTTAGGTTTAGTATAAATACGAATTTTCATTCAATTGTGAAAGACCTTTGACATTTTTGATATTGATATAAAAGTGAGGCGCATTGTCTTCTTTTCATTGTTCTTCATTGAACAATTTCGAACTCATCAAGTGTTAACTTGTGGCGTTCAAACAACCGGATTTAATTCTTAGATTGCGTGATCAAGGGGTCTTTCAAGCGTCGTTCTTGTTGGATTTTTTGGTTCAACTTTCTTTTGAGTTAATCCTAAACACTTGGATTAATTTGGCTTTCTTAGTTTCGTCAATCTTGTTGTGGGTTTTGTAGTCAACGTTGTTACGGGGTTCACATCACATAGCTGCAAGCATCACACATGCTGCATTGTTATCGTCATCACTGTGTTTGTTGTAAGCAGCCACCTCTTCCTGAGTGGATTTTTCAGTAGGCACCACTGGAAAGGGCTGCTCAAGGATATATCCAATTTTCTCATGCTTGAGAACGCTTCTCAAATTACGGTGCCAATCGAGAAAATTTGGTCCGATCAGTTTGTTGGCATCCAGTATGCCTCTCAAATTCATATGATTACTCATGATTCAAAAATTGTAAATGAAGAAAAATATAGAATTAATATGTATTACAATGCATATACACAAATTCAATATGGACTTTAATTAAACGTGCTCCCACTGTTTAAAAAAATTCATCACTCTTATACATAAATTATTTGAATCCACATTTGATTCTCAGTGGGCTGGGATCCCATTCGTTGTATCAAGATCTTGAGTGTACTCAGCAAATCTTAATAAAACATTTGAGTAGATATTATTATTAATTGTATCTCCATACAACTCCTAGATCATTAAGCTGACAACTCTTTTGTCTTCACACATTTTATGTGTTAGCTTAACATGCCTCTAAAACTTATCTTATTGAGTGTACTCAAAAAAAGATAAATTTTAGTTAAATTAAACCCATCATTCAGAAGTATCAAATATTTCATAGTGTCAAACATATCCTTAATAGACCAGCCTTAAGTGTACTCAACAAGTTAAGGTCGATTTAGGATTCTCATTTTTCACTATAATGATGGAAGACAAATAATACTAACTTAATATTTTAACGAGGGATTTAACGTGCAATGGTCTCATTAAGTAATTATATATATATATATATATATATAAACATACATCTAATATGCGAATAAATATATATAAATAATAGTATGGATGATTATGAACTTGTTCTATCTAGTTTTTTCGAGTCAAAGGGAAGACTAGTTGGTCAATTCCGAAGGGGTACAACATTGGATCAACACCAATGCACGATCTCCATGGTGTCCACCTCTTTTTGCGCCTTCAATTAGTCAAACTGCAACATGTATCCTATACTAGTTGGCACGCAGGCCTAAAAGAAATCGGACTCACAGACTCATAATAATAACAATAAAAACGGACTCGTAGGTCCAATATAATAAAGAGCTCGCAGGCCCATAACAACAATAATAACAACGGACTCACATGTCCAAAATAATTAAGGGCTCGCAGGCCCATAAAACAACAAGAAGTAAATCAACCATTCAACACATCCATGTGATCGAGTCCATAATCATTCATAAACATTCATCACATAAATGTTTCCTATGTATAATATCTAATATTTTATGCAATGTCTCATATATCTAGCAATTATAGTCATCAAAACTAATTCAAAATTTTGGATCGAAATAATTAAATAATTAATTAATCATATTAATTAATTAACTTAATTGGCGGGCCTATTTAATTAAAATCAAATTTTAACTAAATCCCGAATTAGAGTCCAACTCTAATTCCATAACTATTGGGCAAAGTAATTTAATCAAAATCGAATTTTAATTAATTATTAAATTAGAGTCATACTCTAAATTTTAATTTGCATTGGGAAGTGGTATTAATTGAAATCAAAATTTAATTAATATAATATTAGAGTCCAACTCCAATAAAATTGAATTAATATTTTAATTTAGGACAAAACTCCCAAATATAATAAAAATTCAATTAAGGGTCGAAATTAAATATTTAAGTTATAATCTAATTTTAACAAATATATAAAAGTCGTCAATTTTAAATAAAAATTTAAATCTGGGTCAAAATTAAAATTATGGGTCAAACCCATTTAAGATTTAATTTTAAAAATAATTTTAAAATCAAATACAAAACACTTTTGAAAATTACAAATTTGACCCAATTGAAAAATTAATAACAAGGGCTTCCATATTCGTAAATTGCAGGAAAGCCCTCCTATCAAAATTGCAGATTGACCCCTTTTCCTTTAATTGCAGATGGGTCCCCATAGTTTCACAAATTTCAAGAGAGGCCCCCGTCTTCATCTAGGGTTTGAGAAGATTCTTTTTTTTTTTCTCCAGTGGTGGGGCCTGACTGGCACCGCCCAACTGGAAACTAAGACCCGCTGCTCACCACCATCGCGTAGCGCTGCTGTAGCGGCATGCGTGCCGGTGGTGCGTCGCCACCCCTCGCTTCGACCCAATTTTTTTTTTATTTTTTTTTAAATTTTTCAAAATCAGATTCTGAAGATATAAAATTAAAACTACAATTGCTAGATTCATGGATAAACATGATTAACTTTACTTTTAATTTAATCATTATGTAAATCAATTCCTAACAAATACAAACCTGACTCTGATACCACTGTAGGGAATTTACTTAAACATGCACAGTGGAAATAAACAGTTTCAATTCCCACCAGAATTCAGTTTTGTATTTAGATAAGAACTGTGATGAGAAATATACATTTTTCTTGATTTTGCAAACTCCTTTGCGTTATCCTTTTTCAGCAACTTAAATCTGCCTCCCACAGCTGTCCAATTGTCCAATTTCCAATGGAATTCACACAGAAAATAGACTACAACTGCTAGAGTTTTTCCTCTTGTGCCAGCAAGAATAATGAAAATCTTATGGATCTTAAACTCTAGCCATGTATTTATATAAACTCAAACGGGCTCGGTCCGGTCCAATCCAATATTTAATTAATCCATTTAATTAAATCTGGTTCGTGAATTAATTAATTCGGAGCTATAAATAACCAATCTAATTAATTAATTTTATCCAACGATTGGATGAATTAATTAATTGGCTATTTGCAATCTTCCAATTCTCTTTTGTGTGCGACCCATCAGGTTCCCGACCACGATGCCTAACGACGTGAAATATTATTTTGATCTAATCAAAACTGATAAATTAAACATTCTTTTAATTTATCACAAATTCACACTCGCCGTCCCAGATTGACATCTAGCAATGTATCAGGGCAATACATGTGACGAGAAATGTCACGTGGTACGACAAAATCAAAACTGTTTGTTTACTATGAAATTATAATCATTTCGTTAATATGATCCGATCAACTACGAGATATGGAAGTGTGTCAATCTCGATTATCGATTATATCTTTCGCTCTACTATTAAGCCAATATGAGTCGAAAACTCCTTTTCGACTTATATGTATACTTTGGCCAAGGATTTCGTTATTGACTTAATTGAATGAAATGCAGATCATAGTCTCTTACTATCTAAGAGTGAAGAATCCTCTATTGGTCATTCACAACTTTCATATCGTTCTTGACATACCCGAACGATGTCGTATTAGCGGCCCTTGGCAAAGCAACATTCAATACCGTCAAAGCATGACTATCATCGTACAAGGTACTATGATGAGCTCAAGCCATAGGACCAATTCCACTACCGAACGTTAGAGATTTACCACTGACACTCAGATAGTTATCCATGTGGAATTTCTTAGCGGGTCTCCAATGTTTTATTCTATAACAAAACATCCACGTGTTCATTTAAGTGTCACCACACTTTAACTCGTGAGATCAACTACTTACTTTACAAGTAAGAAATGCCACACGTGATGGTCTAACTGTATTAACGATATCTGTATCTCGTCATTACTTACGACAACAGTTTATTCAAGATCCAATCATATGTAATTTGTATCTCACAATCACAACTCCTTGTGATTAACAAATCACTTAAATTTAGATCTTCGAATTTTATTATTTAATATTATTTATCGCAAAATTAATTTAAATAAATAATAGATCTTGCCAAATCAAATGCATTAAACATATTAAAAGTGTTTACAACCTAAATCGATTGGATCTAGGGCATAACATTTACAGATCTTACCTTGTAAACTAAGCTCGTGTTTAGTATGAATTAATCAAGATTTCAATCTAAGTTGAAGTTAATAATTAATTTTAAATAAATATTTTATGACACTCACAATTTTTCAATCACATATTTTATCAAAATTTATCAAAGTCTACTAAAAATTTAAATTTAATCCCTATCAACATGGGGCTAATAAACAATCTTAGTTGAAGACGAGCACGAGGAATTATAGTTATACTAATAAATAATTAAAAAGAAATAGAAAGTCATTCGGCAATTAATAGATCACAACAATGTCTAGTTGAACATTCAGTTCTCAACTTTTCTTATCATGACGCGGCACTAATATAGTGTTATAGTAATTAACTAATTCCAATTATAGTGAACCAAACACACCAACCTTAGACACATCGGGGTCATATCACAAGTTTACGAATACCTCTTCCTCAACAATCATAAATTGCATATATCACTTATTACTTATTACAATTGGGATCAATTTGATCATTCATGTTTACTAGCGGAAAATTATCATTTATAACTCTATTTGGGCTCATGTGTCAAAAGAAACGAATCATGTAGGCCCTCTCGTAAATTCATCGGTACAAATATTTTATATTTCACATTTATCTGCTCGATCTAATTTGACACAACTTTCTTTACATCTCCATGTATTGGCTCTACAAATATATGGAAAGTAGGTACACACACGTCTCCATTTTCTAGCTTTCTTCTAAACTTCCATGGCTGGACTTCAAATTTTTCCTACAGATTTCTTCCGTCAACCACAGCTAGGCTCCTCCGATCAACACCAATCAAGGCAGAGATAATTCTAAACAGCAGATAATCATCAAAAGCAAGCCTCTGAAACCAATTCATTTCCCACAAGTAGCTTTGCACCCTCCTCTTTGTAATAAAAATAAGAGGAAATTGCAAGGGATGTCAATTTTTCACAAGACATTTACAAAATGTCACTTTTTTTTTTATACATTGCAAGAGTGTCAATTTAAGACATATTTGCCATTGAACATAATTTCAAATTCCCTAAATGTCCTAATTAAATGAGATTTGACCTAATGGAAGAAATTTGACAAAAATCTTGTCAATGTCAGCAATGAAAGTTGGAAAAAAAATAGATGAATCTTATTTCTCTCATTCAAACAACCCTAACTCTCTCTTAAACTCTCTCTCATTTCTCTCATTACGGGCTTCGATCCCAGACGAAAAAAATCTTGTTTTTTTAGTCAATTTTTATAATATTTTCACCTGTAAAGAGTTTATGAGAAAAAATGGAGCTTTTTGCTGAGTTTAAAATAAGAGCTGAAGTTTGGATTAGAAAGAGGTAAAAATCCTTTTAATATTCTGTAATTTTTTTGGACGTTTAGAATAATTTATGGCTGTGTCATGGTTGGAAATTTCTTCCCTTACTTTCTGCAATTTCATATCATAAATTTTAATTTTCTCTTTTGTATACATTTTCTATTAGTGATGCATATATGCACACGTTACACGTACTAACACTAATGTTGAGGGAGAATTATCTAGGGTTCCAGTTTAATTTTTATCCTCTTCCTTTGCTTTCAAAAGTTTAGATTTCAAACATTTTGGATGTTTTAATGTTGGGTGGAAATCTGGACTGACACTTGACATATCTTTCGTTTCAATGTTTTTGGTACTTTTGTAATGTGAAAATAACACTGTTATTGCTTGGAATCCATTTGTTGTGGGCGGTACTCGTATTTGGGTTGAACTCTTACTAGACAGTTGACATCATACCTGTGGTTTTAATGTTTCGTCATGCTCAAATATGAAGTGAAATAATTCTCAATAATACATATTTGCTTAGAAGTGAAAAGTAGATTTCTCGATAGTTCATCCGTCGACAGTTCACTAATGTAGAGAAATGCTATCGTGCCTAACCGTCGTTCTCGACCATTAGCCTCAGTAATTCTCGACAGATTAACTGTCGAGAACGACTGTTTGGTCCTTCCCTCCGCTCAGTTTCACAAGTTAAATTTTGGTTCATCCTAACACTGTACGAATGTTTTGCATGAACATATATGAAATGCTATGATCTCACTTTTTTGATTGATTTGTTCGTATGTGGTCATATTTTTTCCATCTAAACATATCACGTGTGACTGATTTATCCATATGTGGTTATATTTTTGTGTTTCACGTTTTTATTTGTATAACGATGCCACCACCGTCACGATTCATTTTTCATAATTTTCGGATCACATGCAATTCAAATCTATTTTTGTGAAAGTTGCTTGTTTGACAAATATGGATGAATTCAAATTACGATAAATTGCCTGAATCAATTTAGTTATATTATATACTGTGAACGGATTGTTTTTGCATACAAGGTGAACTTTATTGCATTTCTTCACCTTGCTTTCTACGTGCTTTACCTCGAAATACTAATTTTACCAGTGTATGATGACATATGAGCAGATTCATACTCATTACCCGAACGATCCTCAAAGTGTTGGTGCACACACTCTTGTTGTAATTGGAGGTGAAACCAATCGATTTCATTGTCAAAGAAAGAACAACCTTTACAATGGTCCACTTTTGATGACTGTGGCAACTGCATGGAAGAACTTTTTTTCTATTTATGTATATAATTTTGCGTTTTTTTGGTTCTATTTATGTGATATTGATAGAGGAAATTGTTTGTGTTTCGTACAAAAAATATTTTTAGTAAGGAATAGTAAATAGTAATGAGTAGTAGATTGTTTTTTAAATAGGGTCATGGAGCTACTCCACAGTACAAAACAATGGTCACATCAAGTTTAGTACTTGAGCAAGGTCGTGTACATAAAAATGGTTTTTGGTGCGTTTTATAATTTTCTTGCTTCCGTAACTTGTTCGATTTATCAATTAAAATTGGTATCCAAATGAAAATAAGCATGACCAAAATGAATATTATGATTTGTTTCAATCGAAAACATTCATGAATCACGGTAATATCACTGGACATCATTTTCTTGCAAAACATAACGAGCACTTCTTTGTTTGCATTAAAATGTTGTGCGTACCATGCTTCAATCAAGATGAAATGGTACATATGATTTAATGTACACAATTTTCATAAATGATAGACTAAGTGTGGGTGATACAAGCACATTTAGACTTTAAAATCATCACACTAATTGTCTTTCAAATTCAATTTGAGATATGATGAAAATAAGTCTTCATCATCGTGTATTTTGGCAGAAGATATATTTAAGTTAAAGACTTTGAACTTCAATTCAATTTGAGTGCAGGGATCAAGAATATCAAGTTTGTCATTCAACATTAACAAAAGTCCGACTACGGTATTACTTGTCAAAACCATAATGGAAGTAGTTTTGTCCTCTCTTTACTTCTATTCGCCATCTGCATAAACAAACTTTCCCCCATGCGACAGATGAATCGCAAATGATTACTTATACCCAAAATGTTGGGACTGCAACGATAAAAATTCTGCACAATCAATATGTTGACATTTAATAGAATGAAAGTGGCACTGCATAATACGTAAATCCGTACAATAGCAAAATGTCAAATCAAGGCTTTCCATCATTTTTAAATGTTCAATTTGACAGTAAAACTATATATCCCAACAGTTTATAAATGTCGGGTTCGACAGTTGAACCGTTGAAAATGTCGAGAAGCAAACGATAGTGTAGGAAACAGATTCTTCAGCACATCACATCAAGTATGATCATTAGTATTGGGCTAAATGAAAAAGGTCATGTTTGCCTTATCATTGAAGTGACATTTAATGAAAACATTATTTGGTTTGAATGGAAGAAAGCACTCAAAATGTTAATGGTAATTGGTTTGAATGGAAGAAAGTACTCAAAATGTTAATGGTAATAATCACATTTGTGAAAGATTCAAAAATAAAGAAATCAATGAATAATAGTTTTAAAATTTTCAAATAAATATGACCAGATTGTATTTAATATTTATAAAACCGTAAGTTGTAGAAGTAATATATAAATAATTTCTAATAGCTAACATCTCAAAATGGATTATGAATGCAAGAAAAAAAATCTTCTTGATCAACGAAAATGAAGAAGATTAAAAAAATTAGGGTTTGTAAGGAAAGAAGAAGAAATATTTGTTTATATTTCATTTTTTATTTCTTTTACCTTTTTTTATTAACACAAATTCATATTAATCAATATAATACACATTTATCCATATTTTTTATATATAAAATAAATTATCACATCAATATAATCAACTCCTTCAAATCAAGCATTAAATGCTAATGAAAATGTGTCATTAAGGGTAATTTGGACATTTCACGCAAAAGTTACATTTTTGCTCTCATAAAGTGAAAATGACAACTTTTTGGACCTTGTTAATATTGTGACATTTTTGAAAATTTCCCATAAGATAAACAGTTGGCTACAATACTATTTATTTTTCTGTTTTAATTTTATATTTATAAATATTTTAGAGGCATAGTAGATTTGTCAAGGCTTTTGATATCAATTAATCAAAGTGATTGTTATAGTTATACCAAGAAGAGGTTATCTTGCTTAAAATCTTGTTCGTACCGGCAATCACGCTATTGAGCCAGGCTTCTCAAAAACAGGCCAACGTACAGGCCGACGTGGCAGTTAAGGTGGGTGGGGGGGGGGGGTATGCCTTTTAAAATTCAAAACAGCACACGAACATCTCTCTCCAGAAGGAAAGAAATTTCCCAAATCGAACTCTACCTTCCCAAAACAACACACAGCCAGTTACAACACATCTCGCCGATCGTCGTCGCACGACCAACGGTCCCCGGTCGTCGTGAAAAGAAGGGGGCAACACTAAAAAGTTCTCTGTATCCCTCAATTGAAAAAATCGGAATTTTGAAATCATCCCAGGCTTTCCACCCACAGTATTCGGTCGCGTCACTCGTTGTTGCTAAACTCGCACGACCCACAGCATTTGGTCGTCGTCAAACATTCGGACACCGCATGGAAGTTGCACGCCACCGCACTCCAGTTGCATCTGGACGGGTCTCAAGACAGATGCTAAAGAGCTTGTTGATTGTTATAGAAAAAAGGAAAATCTAAAAATTGAAGAAGAAATTTCTGAAGTTTTGGGACCTCTACCAATTGAATGATGTGTTACTCAGGAAGCATTTCCTCTGCTGGTATACATGTAAAACAAATGACTGATCCCCTGACTCATGTAAATTTTCATTTAGTGGTGTATGAAAGACGTTTCCAAATTTCTTGATTTTCCACCATTTCAATTAACACCCCCTCCCCAATTTAGTGATGATAACTAATATGTGTTCCTCTAGTGGTCACATCAGTTAAATTTATTAATGAATTACTTCTGAAAAATTGAACTATGGGAGAAAAAATATGGCAATTAATGTTGCTGCTTATATTTTGTTTCTTTCATGGATCTAAATATTTGAATTGCTTATCACATTATGTTCTTTTCTTTTCCATTTGAAAAGATTATGAAATGGAACAACTGAAATCCATTGTATTTGGTGGATTTACTATCAGTTCATGATTGGCAGTAATTGAAATTGGCTATTGGTCTGTGTTGGTACAATGCCTGGAAGGAATCGTGGGTCGTTAAAGAAGAGAAAAGAGGCGAATCTAATCGTAGCTCAACTCTCCTTAACAATGCGATGAACGGCCCAGAGGAAGAAATCTTACGCATGTTCGATTCTAGAGTTCGGATCAGTGACAAAGAAGAGCTCCAAATATGGGTGAATGTGAGCGTCCGAGTGGGAAAATAACCTGTAGAAGTCAATGCAAAACGGGAAACGTCTCAATGTGTTGCATGTGTTGTATTCCAGTATTTATCTGTTGAATGTGTTGTATTCCATTAGCTATTGGATTTTGAGACTCCCAGGTTCACTTTTGATTAGCCTATGGGAGCACTTGCAGTTGTAACAAAATTATTCCATCTCTAAATGAATCTGTAACCCACATATTTATGTCATATTTGATAAAATAGATTATACACTCCACCGAACATGTTCTTAGCAATTATCAGTTTTGAAAGCAGAAATACCTCTTCTTTGGGTTACTGATAAGGCCTCCAACAAAACACATTTATTCAGTTTCACATTTGATTTCTACTGGACATTGTAGAGTCTAATTATAGTGTATGCCTAGATTGCTGGATATATTGCTGAAATGGAATCATAGTGTATGCTTAGAGTATGCCTATATTGCTAAAATGGACAACAATGGCATTTGATGCATGTTGAGTGCTAGTCATAAAAGGCCCAGAGAAGGTCAATACAGCAATTCCTAGTATCACTTGAAATACAGATTTGCTAAAAGGACATGTCATTGATTTAAACTTGGAACTTCCATTTTGTTTCCCTTCATTCACTGGGCAAAAATATTGATCATTGGTACTGCGGTTTCTATGAACATTAAAAAACTTTTATATCAAAGAAAAAAATAAAATAAAGCAACCACATATTGGCAATATCAGTAGCAACAACCCTGTAACTTAAATCAACACAAAGGGACACTACCATTTTGCATATACATGAATTCCAATTACAAGGGATAAAAATCATAGTAGAATTAATGGAGTTATATATGATGGCTCCCAATTGCAGGGGAAACTTGCCTCATCACACTCCTCTGCCAGTTTCATCAAACGAGTTCATATGGTAGAACGACAACCCTGGACCTACAATCGATTACCATATGAAATAATTAGTGATGCATTCATAAAACAAAAAACGTTCAAACTCATTAGTGAACACATAGTTATACCTTCTAAACTAGACATAACATTTTTTGTGAGTGGATGGATGAAATTTGCAGCCGATAATCATTGTAGAAGGGAGAACGTGCACTCATAGAAAACTAGACATAACATTATACCCTACTAAATATATTGTATATGGAAAACTCTTAATTTAAATAAATGTAGTTAATATTAATTGATCTCTTAAATTAAATTGACTAATTTCCTACTTTTTAGTTCTGGTAATTTAATAACAAATGTACACTCAATAAACAAGATTTGCTTTAATTTTCAGTAGGATAGTTCACTTGGTCTTATTTCTTCTTTTAAACTCTAGTTATCGCATTCTTTATTTTGATTATATTAGCCCCATCGAGAAAACGAGTGGACCTCTATCAAAACTAAAGGATAATTTAACTTTCTCATGTTGACAAAACAGAGGCAATGGGAAGAAGAAATTGGCAATAAAATTATAAATTTCCAGAAGAAATAAGCCTTTCCTTTTCGAACATCGCTGGTTATTAATAGATAAAAATAATTTTTGAAATCGATTTTAAATATAAATTCCATGTACATGACTGTAACTATCGTATTGGATTAGGCAACCTTTTTAGAGCCCTTGTTGCTAAAAAATTGTTCTATAGAATAATGTAAATACTGGAAATAAAAAAATCTTTTGAAGATGATTGAACTGTAACGAAACGCCTATAAATTAGAGCACTTAACACCAAATATGTTCTTAAAACCCAGCAAATATGTTCAACAGTGGAACCACAATAATTCAGGGAAAAACTCGAAAATGTGAAAACGAGTGAAAATCAAAGTTTACCTTTTAACTGGGTTCTGGCAATGAGTCGAAGAACCTCTGGTTACACCCGGCGTATGATTTTCTTCCCAAACGAAAATGGTGGGAACAATATTTTACAAGTTGAATAGAGGCGTGGAAATAAGATTGCTGGTCATTCAGGTCAATACCAGCTTCTTTTTCCCTCCAAAACACCTGCACGTTTGGGGGGACATGTTGGATATTGGTTAAATAAATCGAGAATTGAAAAATCGATTAAAGTTCGTATCGACTTCGGTCAAATACTCAAAAGCTCGACTCAATCCGTTTAAACAAAATTATTTGCCACTTCGTCTCTTCGGAGCCCACAAACGGGGATCGACCTGCTCGTTCAGGTCGCGGGGGTTGAGGGGGCAGCGCCCCTCGTGGGTGGTCGGGGGCAACGCCCCCGAAAGAGAATTTTGATTTCTTGGCATGTATTGAAGGGTATATTTGGCATTTCGAAAACCAATATCGGATGAATGAGAAATAAAGAAAAAGGACGAAAATTAGTGAATAGACACCTTTTCATAAAGGTGCATTGTTTGGAAAGGGTGCATGGTTTGGCCTCAACCATTTCGTCCACACCCTTTCATGGTCTATAAATAAGACCCTTTGGGTGTCCTATTCCACACAATTTGATATGCAAAACGTCTCTCATCCTCTCTTCTGTCCAAAATCAAAAATCATTTCATTTATTTTGATTTTCTTTCATTTCATCCTTGGAGTACATAAGCTTAAATTTGGTTCGTTGTACTTGTGTTTTGGAGTGCTACAAACACAAGTGTAGCCGTTGTATCTTGGGAGTCGATTGCCGAAATCCGTAAGCACCGTTGCGGGGCAAATTCGACTTAAGGACAAAGAGTCCAACTCTTGTCTCGGCTTTGTCACCATCATTATACTTATTTCGGCGTCACTATTCACAAAAATCATCCAACAGGACAGTAGGGCTGTCAGTGTGGTCCACATTTGCAGGCTTTCCCTCCAATATTGACGCCAAGTTGGCAATTTCAAAAGCCTATATTCAACCCTGTTTTTCAGCCTGTGCGAGTAGCTTTATTCTTTGAAATAATAGACATTATTTAAGAAAATAAAAAGTGATGGACAAAGTCCAATTTCTATCTAAAAGCACGTCGCTATATATTAAAACACAGGAAAATTCGAAAATTTTCCAATATACATAGAAAAATAAAATTAATTCGTATTATTTGAATCAACTTTAGACATAATAATTAATATCACGTTTGATTAATAATGGTCGTCTACCGCCCCCAGGGCACATCTCCAAGTGGTAAAAGGGGAGAGTGGAGAAATTCAGCTTTACTTGAGACTGTTGCATTAAGGGTTCGAATCCTGAAATATGGATTTGACTCTTGGGTAAGTGCAAGTGTACAAGCGGCCTTCCACCCTATACTCTTGGAGGCATAACCTGCGATTTACCACCCTCACGATGTTTCAGGGTAGGGGTCGTAGAGGACCCTTAAGGTTAGGGTTTAACTTTTTATTTTTTTAATAATGGTCGTCTACCGACCAACCTAACATGTGATTGACGCGGATTTACATGTCCCACTGGCCCCACCACAAACACGCCATCATAATTCCGTGTCCTACTAACCACCGTAAAGATCATCATAACCGATTCTTCCGCCGTTGATCTCCTCCTTCCATAAAAGACAATGATAATAAGAATTTAAATGGTGGGGCCTACAATGGCCCACCATTTATGACCCAACACCTGTTCTTATCCTTACTGGCCGCCCACCAGCTACAGTCCATAGTTATGGATATTGTACTACAGTTACAGCGCAATGTACAATGATTTGGATGGGGAAGTTTTAAGGCTTGTTTGCTACAGTGCTCGCACACTAAGAAAAGTTCTTTATATTTGAATTTAAAACAAAAGTTGAGCGTGAGATTCCAAACAATCCCTTAATTTGGGGCTTTTAGGCGAGTCAATCAGTGGGCAGGTTCGGGTAAACTTTCGCGCCTAAGGCTCGGTCACCGAACCTTGTAGGCCTGTACGCTGGCCTATAAATTAAGCTTATGCCTAGCCAAGGTGACTCATTGCTCCTAACGCGTTCCCCAGAGGTTCCACGAACACAGAGATTTTCTTTACTAGCAGGTTCAGTCTTTGATTAATAAATTTCAATTTTTTGATTTTTATTTTGCTAAACTTCGTTTTGCTGATCTGAGCGTTACGCTGATTTTATTCGCTAAATTTGATATTTGTTTAGAAAATGAGATTTAAGAAAACTAACTTCCGATCTTAACAATTGTTGCTTGAGATCTGTGTTATCCATGGTATTTTTTGATCCTGAATTTGTTGTAGGAATAAAACAAGAACTTCGTGAAAAAAAACTACGCCTTTTATTGAGAACGAAACCAGAATCTCATTTAAATAGAGTTTTCAAATGTTTATCTGTGATTTTATGTGCTTATTTTTCTCGCTTTTTTTTTTTTTTGGGTTCTAGATTTGTAGAAAAATTTAGATCTATAAGGTAGGATGTCGAACAAGTAATGAAAAAATTTTATTTGTTGTGTTTAGTTGCAAATGGAAAATTTATTTTAGAAACGTATTTAGGAGAAATGAGGTTCAAGCAATAATTCCTTTCTATTTTTATCATTTTTAAATTATGATCTAACAACTTTGAAGTCGAATCCCAACCCTGATTAGGGAAAATGAGGTCCAAACATTATTTTTCTTTCTGTTTTGATGATTTTTAAATTGTGTCTTACGAATTTGGAAATTCGGTTGACCTAAATAATGAAGGAAAATTGAGGTACAAATATCATTTTGCTTACGATTTTGATGGTTATTATATTTGAAACTTTTGGAATTTGAATGCTGGCTTGGTCAAGGGATATGTATACCTTTTTCTACTATACATCTTCCTTGTCTTTGTTGCAATTCAGTATTCTTGTAGGGTCTTAATGTTGAATACTAATGCAAGGTAATGTTTTCTCCATCAGTTAGTTTGGATTTGATTAGAAAACAAGAATGGCTCTGGTATCTGGTAGAAGGTCAGCACTTAATCCGAATGCTCCTGTGTTCATTCCGGCATCAATGCGCCACGTGGAGGACTTCTCACCGGAGTGGTGGAATTTAGTGACAACCTCAACTTCGTTCCGTGACTACTGGATTAGCCAGCACCAGGGAGATGATATCTTCGGCGAGGAGAGTGATGATGTTGCTGATTTGTTGCCTGATACCATTGACCTCGGTGTTGATGAGGATATCCTCAATATGGAAGCTCAGTTTGAGGAATTTCTCCAGTCTTCCGAGTATGGGCAGGGGAATTTCTCGGCTCACTCTGCCTTCGAGGAAATGCCTGAAAATGGTACTTCCTATATCTATATATGCCTTTTGGTTATTCATTTAGTGAATTTGATTAAATTACAAATTAAAGCCAATGAATTAATTGGTCGTGGAGCATAATGATAATAACATTCAGTATATTGACTTGCTAAATTTCTATATATGAAGTGGAAAAAAGTGATTATACATATTAAAGGCTTGTTTGGTACTGATTATGAGAATTATTTTTTGTCCTTTGATAGAAAAGTGGGTCCTCTCGTGAGTGAAGATGTTAAAAATGACGGTGAAATAACGATAAGAAAATTGATTTTTTAAGGTGAAAAATTGTTGCCAAATGGGGGCTAGATGCTCTTTGTGCTTGCTGATTCGTTGTTGTTTGATGCTCAACAGCTGGTGTGGTAGTAACACGAAAATTTACCTTAAAATTTGTGAAAGTTTAGAAGAAAAAAAGGAGGAATTTTGTCATCTGTCCCAAAAGAAAAGATGGGAATACAGATTTGCTTGAAACAGTTCTTAGATAACTCTTTTACTCCTTTTGATTATCGCCCGAGACCTCTTTCTTTACCGGCTTTCTCTGGATTATTGGAGAGCAAGGTTCACCGAGCAAAATTTGAAATTTTTTAAGTCTGAAAGCTTTTGGAAGCGGTTTTGAGATGTCATTTTATTGCAATTTTTATGCCTAAATGATATTTTGTAGTAGTTCACTGTAATTTTGGCATGGATGTCAGGTTTAGGAAAGGATGCTGAGGCATTGATCAAGAAATTAAACCTATCGAAAGAGAAGGGTCCCAGGTCTCCGAGGAAACTAGCTGCAAAGCACTGGGAGAAGCCAGCCAAGCACATTAGCCCAAAATGCAGCCCCCGTGTTATCCAGCAGCCCCGTTGAATTGTTGTTATTAGATTGCAGCAAAGCAGTGTCTGTTTCTTGTAACTTTCTGTATAGAGCAAGGTTGTAACTCTCCTTTACTTAGCCTTGTTCATAGTCTAACTATCCGTTTTTAGCTCGAGTATGAAAACTTATGAGAAAATGTAAAAAATATGTAGAACAAGTATTCAGACAAGAAATGAAAAAGAAGTCATTTTAGTTCTGGTTAGATGGTAAGTGCAATGATTCACTGGCGAGGTCTCTGATACAAGTACAGTTGATTCTTTGTCATTGCGAATATTTCTATAACAAATGATTTCTTGATAGAATAGAATCGCTGCCGAATGCAAATGTCATGTTTTGGTGTTTGCATATCGTTTTGTGAAGTGTCCTTTGAAACCGAAGGTTGGTGATTAATGTAGCGTTTTGAGTGACATTTTGCCTGTGACTTTTTGCCCGCAGTGTTGGCCTTTTCTTGCATTTTAGATGCGGTTTTATGGTTAAAAGATGTGTAGGTGAGTCGAGGGGACTAGGTTTGGGATTTGGTTGAGACAGGTTGGGGCACCCCCTTAGAATGTGGTTGACTGTCGGGAGTCAATATTACTTATTCTTGATTAATTAAAATCTTTAGATGGTGTTTGGGAACTATTTTTATGTAAAAATATATTTTGAAATAGTGAATTAATAGGAAATGTGTGGTTGAAAAATAAGGATTTTTTTTATTTACATGTAATATTATTTTAGTGAAAAATGTGTGGTTGAAAAGAAGAGAGAAAAATACATTTTGAAGAAAATTGGTACCAAACGGGGCCTTAGTACGTTGATGACAACAAAATATGCTTAACCTTCAATGAATTGCAACAGTGACAAAACAAATTGCCTCTTGTAGCACGGACTGTTTACAATATTTGAACGAAACAAAAAAGAACTAGAAATTGAGAGATCCACTCTTCTACTTGTTTCAACTTTAAATGAAGAGCAATTCCGTATTTAAGAGTCTATGCGAATAACGTAGGGAGTGGAATAAGACATTTTGCTATCCTTGAATCTTTATCTACTCTAAGTAATTTTTTTTTTTTTATCTAACCAAAAAATTAATATAAAATTTATTGAATTCTACCATGCCAGGCCTGTTATTTTTCTTAATTGACTCGTTGGGGCACCCCAAATTCGTATTCACGAATGTCATCTTACACTAAACTAAACAATGTTTGCATGAAATTTTAGTAGTATTGGATATCATTCAACATTTTTGTTTTTGTTTTTTGTTTTTCCTGAAAATTCATATAAGAATGGTTCAAATTTGATATGAATGATGTTATAAAATCATTATAGGCACTAAATTTTGTTGGTTCATGTAGCTAGGTACGGACAGTCAATTTGAGAATCTAGGAATGAATAGGGATCCTTGTCAATATAAAAATAATACATAGCAAGAGTTTTATCCCTTTCTCCCACTAAATATAGGTATCTGATACAATATAGTAGTACTAAACGAATTGAACTTGATATGAATGATGTTATTAAGCCATTATTGGCACTAAATCTTGTTGTTCTATGTGTATACTCTAGTGTAATATTCTTATTTGAATAATTATACATCGTCATCATTTTAACTTAGAGGTTTGACCTCACGCTTTATTAATAAACATTTTAGAATATTGTTGCTATACTAACCTCAAGATCGAACACTATGAAAAATAAGATCAAATCAAACACATAACCACCGTAATTCACGGGAAACATGATGATTTATAATCATTGCTACAGCGCTTCACATTACCACCAATTATTCCTAACATAGTAGATGGTAGTGATGACATAACCTAATTTCCAACCAATTATAAACAAGTAATGATTATCCAGACGTGAACCATCATTACCTGATGTCATAGCTGCAACGTTTGCATCGTGATGATTTGCATGGTCGACCTCAATGACCAATCAAGAAACCGTAACTCTGATGGTGGCACGCATTTTCAGGTCAGTACTGTAATTAAAATGACGTTAAACGTCAAATTATGTGATTTTTCAGCCTATAAATAGGGACAAATGGTCCCCTTTAAAGGCAGAGCTAAGAGATTGAGCAACAAACAAGCCCAAATGTCGCCTTAATGCAATGACTTTTTAAACTTTGATTCGATTCCAACAATACTCAATAAAATTTTCCTTTAAATTGATCTAATCTTGCCACATCATTTTTAATAATCAACAATCTCACTAAAATACAATAATATTGTTTTTTTAATAACTCGAAATCTTTATTACTCTATTATTGTATATTTGGTAAAACTGATGAAAAATTGTTTGGAGCACCAACAATGTAACATATTGTGACCGTTTTGCTTAACCCCACGTTTTCAATTTTCAACAGCCCATTCACTCATACCTATACCAAGACGTGGGAGTTCATGACAGTTTCCACGTGTACAAATTTCACACGTGGCACAAAAATTCCATGCAAGAAACAACACGTATCACTTGCTCACAACCCACAAAACATGCTATGAATGTCACCAATTTTCTTCCCTTTGATCATAAATACTGGAAAAATTCAGACAACGTATGCAGAAGTAAACTGCTAATAATGTCTCTCAAATCAAGTTCAAATTTGTCTCCTCCGTGGCAAGTTCTTGTTCTTGTTGCAAATCATCTTGACCCAAAAACCCTAGCCATAGCCTCTTGTGTATGCAAATCATGGTCCATTTCCATGTCTTCGGACCACCTATGGCAACCCATTTGCGCCGCCCAGTATCCTTCTCTCTGCACCCTCCATGCCGCCGCCAGTGCGGCCGTGTCGTACCTCAAGTTATACACCTTAGGGTACATGTCCGAAAAACGCAGGGTCCGAAAGCCTCTCAAGCCCAATCTTTCTTTACAAGATATATTCTTTGCTATTGATATTAACAACAAGAGTTCGTGCATTGCTACAACGATTAAGCCGGGTTGCGAACTCGAGGTGGACAAGAATGGCGTTTTCCGGTTCGATATCGACGTCAAGAGAGATAAATCGGTGGCATTCGACCCGACGGATAATTTGAGAATTACGTGGAATGTGGTTATGAAGGGTTTTGAGAGTGTGTTCACTATGATGGAATGTAGAGGGAAGGGGAATTTTGTTTTGGGGTTGCAAGGGTGGTTTTCGAAGGAACTGCCGCTTCCGGGGTGTTGCTTGAGCGGCGGCGCTAGTGGGCTGGTGGCGGACTTGAGGTTGGGCTTGAGAATAAGTGGCGGCAAGGTGGTGGTGGAGAAAATGAGTGTAGGGGTTTTGAGTGTAGTGAGTTGGAGGTATGTTTGGGTAGATGATGTTCTTAGGTATTTGCAGCATTTTCTTTTGCCCTAATAGTAATATATAGCAATTGTGTAACTAATTTCTTTTTTATATCAATAAAAATACAAATAAAAATATAGATATTAAGTTCAATTTGATTCACCTTAAAAAATTGTTTTAAGTTTAGTAATTAAAGTTAATGATTAATTCGTAAATTTTTATCCACATATTTAATTAATTTTTATTAATTAATAAAACTATATCTCCATTTGACATAAATTAAAATATAATTTTTACTAAATTCAATGTCAACAGATTTTTTAATTCATAACTTTTCAATCATATATTTCACTAATTTTTATTAAAATTTGTTAAAATTTTGATTGATTTTAACGTTAATAAAGGGCTATAAATGAAAAATAAGTTAATTGTTAATAAATTTATTAAAAAAGAAAAAATAATAAAATAACTGCCAGTTTAAGTGACTAAGCTATTTTGAAACAAAAAAAAGTTGAATTACTAACTAGAAAATTTTCTACTTCAATGATTAAGGCTACGTTTGATTCACATTTTAAAAAAAAAATATATTTTTAAATACTGATTTGTTATCATTTCAATCACATATTATTTAAGAAAATAATATTACACATAAATCTAAAATTTTTCTTTATTTTTTAACAAAATATTTTCCATCAATACACTATTCAAAAATGCATTTTTACGAATATAATGTGGCTCAAACAAGGGCTAAGTTAGTTTTTAGGTCTTTGGTGGGCTTTTCCTGTACCCGAGGCAGTTCCCGGCCCACAGCCCACATATAAATTAGAGACATTTCCTCATTTCCTCTCCACATTTCGAAATGGCGCGGAGAAAAACCTCTAAGCTTCCCGCTTCCACTCCCATCCAAATCGGTGAAAAAGATAGCACTTTTTTTCCCCCCCAAACAATTTTGTAGAAAAATGTAATTTTTTTATTTTAATTTTAGCTACTATTTTCCTTCGATAATCCAGGGAATTGTGAAGTCATTGTGGAAACAAAAAATTTCAAATCCGAATTGAATGAAAATAGTCTCCAAATTTCTCTCTCCAGAAATGCCAAAATCAAAATTTCAGGTAATGAATTTGTTCTTAAGTAATTTATTTTATTATTTATAATTTTTCTGTTCCATTTTTATAATGATTGAGATTGATTGTGTTATTGCTTGTGGCAGTGGTGGAAGACACGAATAATAAAAAGAAAAAAATGGATTTCCGGTGTCAGGAGGTAGAGCAAAGTGGTATGGCATTTAATTGTTATATTTTTGTATATTTTGAATTTTTTTCCTTTTTGAGTTCTGTAAATTGTAAAATGCTATTGGCTTGTATGATTTGTAAGATGTGTTTGAATTATATAAACTGTTCAGGTGATTGTTATTTCGTGCTGGTTAATCCAAAAGATTCAGATGTTCAGACCAAGCCTCTCATTCAGGTATTTTCTAATTAACATGACGATTCCATGTGTGTTTGAGCATATGTATGATTTATGATACATTTTAATGTGTAGCTTTAGTGAATAAGACATTATCACGGTATCTCATTTTCATCACAAATTTTTTGCTTGTCATATTGAATTTTCTGTAATACATGTTTAAAATGTTGCTCAAATAACCTAAACTCTAGTCTATTGAGGATACACAGGGGGTTCTGCTGCTTATCGCATTCAAATGGACCCTTATGTGAGTCTTTCTCCACGTAAATTCACCTAGAGAGAGGCTTAGCTCATCTATGCAGATGACATGTATTCGTTCTGGTGTCTATTTCTGTTCTTATAGAATGAAAAGAGCATATGTTGAGATATTTTATGAGGTTTCGGATATCATTCTTACTTCTTGGTTTCTTTATTCAGCAATATTTTATTTGCAAGAATTTCAGCTGTTTAATTTTGTCTTTTATGATAATGTAACTATGATACCCTTCTCT